AAATTCCTATTTCTAATTTGTATTGGGAAAATTAAAAAAAATTCTTAATAACCATAAACTGGCCATTATTTTGGTGATAAATTTAGTCTCTGTAGATATATCCCTTTCTAAACATGAATTTGCACCTCATCTTTAACACAAACAATAATGTGTATCAACATGGCAGAAAAAACATAAACTGTGAATGTAACGCACTAGAATTTTCAACCATAATCAAATGTTCAAAAGCATGTTTTTGCAGAAATGCGTTGACACTCAGCATTTCAGCTCCTATCTTGCTATCAGTTCGTGTAACATTCTAGATTAATAATGACATCTCTTCATCAGGTAGCTGAACCATGCCAGAACAATTATAGACAAAGAGGGATATGTGTGGTTTCTTTCCACCGTGTCCCCACCCTTCCCTGAGACGTCTGTCTTCCTTTTGGGGGCCACTAGAAAGTGCAAGGCCCCGAGGCCCAGCCCTGACGGTCCCATCAGCTCAGGGCTCTGCATTCAGATGCCTGCCCTTGATGGGGTATTGCTCACACCGCCACAGCCTTGGTACTTCATGCCTCGCCTTGGAGCCTTCCTGCCAACAGACGGACAGGCCAGCAACCTCCTACCATTTTGTGTTTGTGGCTTCCAAACATTCCTGTTTTTCTTTTTTTTATTTTTAACCACCCATTCACCATCAAAATGCACTTGTTTTTCACCCCTGGAGTTTTAAATGCTTCCAGGTTACATGTCACATGTCTGCTCACACACAGGGGAGGAGGAAACCGAGGGAGGAGAGTAGAGGGAATCCAGAGCATTCCCTCCCATGAACTTGGGCCTCTAAGAACCAAACTTTGGAAAACTCACTCAGGAGGATTGAAATTAGGTTTTGCATATGCAAAGGAAGCTCTGTGATTGGACCCTCTGTTGGAGAGACATCAATGCCTCTAGCCTCTGTAAGTATCATTAAGAAAAGTTGTGTGCACATGGAGTCGCTGAGCCACGTGCACAGCTATATGCGAATGAGAGTCAAAAGGAAGAGGCTGGGTTTGCTGTGCACAGAAAAGATTGAGTTAGCATTTTGGTTCCTAGTAGGAGAGTTACTTCTGGCCCTGACTGCAAATTCCATGGTGTTTTTGTTATACTTATGTGCTAATAACATAAAGCCTCAGGTGGGAAAAATAAAAGTCAGATTCACGTGTCTGGATTCTACTGATGTCTCTGAAGATAAATGTCTGTTATACTGCTTAGTGGGACGAGAGGTCTGGCCCCGGCGGCCTGTATCCATCAGGAAACAGAAATGTTGACTGAGCTCGGATCCCAGCTGGTTGGTGTATGGGAACTCAAACACTTTCATCTTTGGCACCAAGATCAACTCTGAGGAGCTGATGCCACGCTTGTATCAGATAATGGGAATTCTCTCATTTATCTTTCTCATTTTTGCGTTGGCTGCCAGGAGACTCAGAACTAAATGTGAAACTATAGTAACCCTGATATATCCTGGGTTTCTGGTAAAATTGTTTCTGTTTCTTTTATGTTTTTCCTAATTTATCTCTTTAATTTTTAAGCGTGCAGTTGTCCATGTGTTTATCAGCTCCTCAAATTGTTTACGAACTTTCAGCACACATAAATGACCATGAATAGGTTGTCTCTTGTTCAAGAATACAATTTTTGAAGCAAGGCAGACCATCAAATAAAGTAAGTACGATAACCTCCCCATTTCAACCAAGATCTGAAGTTGTGAATTCCTTTTCAAATTATGGTCTCCTTTCTCAGCTGTGACCGTGGTTGACTCTCCTCTGTCCTCTCTTCTCGTTTTCTTGCAAACCCACACCCCAGCTCTATCATACCGAAAATAATAAAGAAAGAGGCCATTAGTGTCAGCAGCTGCCATGGAAAGCCAAAAGCCACTGAACCAGTACGGCTAGCCATCAAGGGCCACCACCCTGAAATTGTGATTAATATTTGATTTCTCTAGAAATATTCTTATGTTAAAAATAAAGATTAACTGGTAGGTACCCTTTTATCACTTGGTATCAAATTTCCTAAAATTTTTTATTTATTTCTTTACATCATTGATTCCCCACACCTGCCTCAAATTATTTTTTGTATGTTCAGATAAATAGATACTTCAACATACTAAAATAATGCCTTTTTACTTGGTTATGAACTGATGTGGGATGTGAATACAATGCAATTGTAGCCCTATCAGGAATGCATTCATTGAAAAAATTATTGTTAAAAGAACAAAAGGGTGAGTAATTTCATTAAACTCAAACTGAGGCTGTCACTTGGGTCATATTTGAAGAGGCCTGCTGGGCCCTGGGTCTCAGCAGGGACGCAGAGCAGGGCTCCAGGCTCCCGTGTGTGGTGAGGCGTGTGTGGCATTTACGTGCAAGAACAAGTGTTGGAGGGGAGGAGCTTTTATAGCAGGAAATCCTTTAAAACCAGAAAAAAACAAAGCCAGATATAATTGAAATATTACAGATGTGAAATAACAAGAGTCGAAAGATGTTAATGTCTACATGAGTTTTATCTACTACAAAGAGCACTTTTTCAGTTTAAGAAATTCGAAAGTGATTCCTTAGTTAAAAAATCACGGATAATATATGGGCATCAAAACACAAAGCTCCGAAAGCCTGCCTTGCTCCCGGAGTGAGTCCTCCGAGAGGAGGTGGACGCGGAGACGGAAGTTTTGAACGGTAATTTGATTTCCAGAACAAAGTCCAAAACTCTCTCATTTTAAACTGAGGAAACGGAAGTCCACAAATGTGATGTGATTTGTCCGACGCCCCTTGGCTTGTTAGTGGCAAAGGGGAAACTAGAATCTACGTCTCTACGCTGGGCAACAGTTCTTCTCCCACTCCGACACATTAACTATTTATGTTAAAGTGTCGGGAATTCTAATAGTTACATACAACATGACTCATGGTGAAAATCATGACATTATTGGGGCCAGCCCCAGTGGCCTCATGGTTAAGGTTGGCACACTCTGTTTCAGTGGCCCTGGTTCAGTTCCTGGGCGTGGACCTATACCACTTATCTGTCAGTGGCTATGCTGTGGTAGCAGCACACATATAAAAAGAGGAAGATTGGCAACAGATGTTAGCTCAAGACAAATCTTCCCTAGCAAAAAAATAAAAATAAAAATAAAAAAATCATGACATTAAGTTAAATTTAAAAATTTGTTGAAAAAATTTCCAATTTGGATGTTTCTTTGAATCCTTTCTAAAATTCCATCTACTTAGCACCTGTAACACTCAGGGTGCTCTGTGCTAATGTCAGCATCCTGTCTCAGAGGTAGGTGGAGGCTGGCCATCTTCAAACCATTCCCAACCTAAGTCTAAGTACCGTTTTTCAAGCAGAGAAAGAGACCTCAAAGACAGGCATGCCTCCACATTCATGTCAGGACACTTCAGTCCACAGTGTCACGGAATGTACCTTAGGTAAGAATATGAATGTTTGAAATAATTTTTTGGAAACTTCTTGATTTTTCCTGTAAAACTGTGGTTATGAAATTGTATTCAGCTGACACCTAATTAAAACTTTTTAGCCAAATGTAATAATTTCTTTTAGCAATAGTATGATGAAGTTTAACTATTGACTAATCAAGAGATGATTAAGGAAAAAAAATCAGATTTCATATGTGCTTTGCTAACTTGTTTTCCCTTGAAAATGTAAACAACGGAGTTTTTATAAATTTTTAGATCAAGAATTTACATATATATTCCTTCATAAAATAACAAATACTTTAAATAAACTACTTATTTAAATTATATAATTCAATAATTTACTCTTTTATACAATAACAGCAATAATATAATAAATTACATATAACATTTTAAATCACAAAATTCCCTTTAAAAAATGACCCTCCTTTCCTTTGGTGCAGAACCGAAGAAGTCTGATAACCATCTCATCATGGATGCTCATTAAAAATTCCCTGCCTTCTTAACTGCTAGCATAGGGATTTGGGGAGTAATTTGTAATTTTTCCCTTGATTTTACTGAAGGACAATCAAAATAATTGCTTGATTTCACCCATAAATTAAGGTACAGCTGAAAAGGAAATAAAATGAAAGACAGTCCGGGAAGGTCACCCTGAGGTGCTGCGGGCGCACCTGCTGTGGCATCTGAGCATTGATTGCGTGGGCCTGGCTCCTGAGGGTGTGTTAGGTTGAATGGCCTTAGTCCTAGCAACCAATTTGTGAAAAATTAGCTGAAAATTTATTACAGCCTGTAAACATTTCTAACTCATCATAACCGAAATCTTCCATTGAAAAGCAAAGCTGAATTAATATCCCAGAGAAGAGAATCCTTATGGAAAGCAAATCGAAGGGCTGGTCGCTGCATGACTCTCAGCCTTGGGTGTGTGACATTCTGCTGTGATGCATTTTTCGCAATAATTACCTAGCCACCTTATCTTCTGGATGTTCTCCATATCCATCTCTCTTACAGACCTAAATCCCAGTATTTATCCCAGAATAATATAATCATTTAAGGCCTAAAATCTCATTAGCATGTTGTGTCCTTGATGTTCACCTCCCATTGTGACCTCCCCCTGCAGCTGCCCAGGTGCCAGACTTGGACTTCGTTTCCCAGGAAAAACTGTTAAATTATGGAAGCCGAGTTCCTACAGAAAGATCGGGAAGATCACTCTTAAATTACCCTCTGTGATTTACCATCCTGCAGCTCCCAGAATGAGAAAATGGGGAAAGAGAAAGGAGCCTTCTCAATGGGACATGGGAGGTTCTTAGTGAGCTGCAGCGTGCAAGTGGGAAAATGAGTTTAAGGCTGGTCCTAATTTGTGTCATCTTATGTATTATCTTAAATTGTGCCCCATGAGATGGTTAGAATGGCTTCCACTGTGCAACAGACCAAAGACTGAGTTCATGCCAGAAGAGAAAAGGACAGTACCACGCTCACTGTCCCCCAAGAGCACCTACCCACTCATTTCCATCATTTGGTTTGGGTCCCTGTGCGAGTCATGTTAGACAGTACATTGTGAAAAAACGCAGACATTACCTTCTGTGTCTTGCATATTTGCCACTAACATGACCACTGCCATCACAGCCAGGAGTGGGACAGCTGCAACAGGAAAGAATCAGTTACACAGGTGCTGCGTGCTGCAGGAGGGTTAGACCAAAGCTTCTGTGGCGTCAGGGGGAAGGAGGGCAACACAGACAGACGGAGAGAAACCAAAACACTGAAAGGAGGGAAAATTAGGGGATGCTTTTTATTAGCAAGTCTCAGGGGAATTAATTTCATCAGTGCAGCAAGGCATGAGCAGGCTGCCGATGAACTCGAAAGTACAGTCTACCCATTAAGAAGTATGAATTTTCTAAATTGCTAATGGGGATACATTTTACCCGCAGAGCACTAACCTGAACAGCTCTTGTATGGCTGGTTCCACGGGAACTGCAGAGAGATGGGAAATAGATAAAAATTTATCATCTATCTCAAGTACCCCTGTTCCACAGAACATTCCCGAGAGGGAGGTGTCAAGGCAAGGGTCAGAGTGAACCGTGCAAACAGCGTCTGCAGGATGAAGGTGACCCTGAACGGGGCCTCCAGGGACTCAGGGAGGCGTGGACGTACCTCGAACCCCTTTGGACCGTGTGCGATGACGCTTCTCCTCGGCGTCCACCTCCATCTGGGGATAGATTAGCAGGCGGTCAGTGTGCTTCTCCTGCATGCAAAAGCCAGCAGTGCATGAGCAGTGCGCTGGCACTTTAGTGACAGTGTTTTAATCTGGTTTCCCTCTGTGAAGGGAAACCCTCTACAAGGGGGCGTGGGAGGGAAGCGTCAGGCAATCTAAACGTGTGATTTAAAAATAATAAACCAGACCTTGACCTTGCAGGGGACGCTGCACCAGGAGGCCTCTGCCGTCTGCAATGGGACAGACTTGGATGAAGCTTGAGTGCAACCTATTTACTCTCTTTTAAAGGATTGATCAGGACACATCTGGAGTTGCACTTTGCACCAAGAACATAATAGAACACTGCGAAGTTTGCGAGAAGGTAAATATCTACATACAGTCTGGATTCTCCTTGTAACTGAAAGGTTTGATCTGATCAAGCAGTAAGAGGAGAAGAGTTGGTGTCAGAGAAGGACAGCATTTTACCTAGGGGGCCACCCTCACAGTTGTCCAGTTCCTGGGGTGCAGCTGCTGTTCACATTTGTCTACACTGTTAGGGTGCTCTTTAGGGGCACAGGGCCTTTGCTCATGTAACTGACATGTCTTATACTTGGAGATCACAAAGAGTTTTCATATGTTACCTTGTATGATCCTCACCACAACTGCATAGGAAAGGAATTTTTGTTATCTCTCTTTGATAAATGTTACTTGCCCAAGATCATCCAAGTAGAAGTTTTGGTGCAGGGCCCTGAAACCAAGCCACCTGTCTCCACATGATCTTTAAGTCAAAGAACACACTGCCGGATGGGGGACTACGTGCCAGTGCATTTGTGCACCAAATATTTCCACAAGGTATGAATAATTTATACATGGAAAAACTGCACAGTAGGAGAATTCTACTCAACACAACAGAGGGGCTGATAAGAGAGAGGCAGTAAAGATGACAGCTCCTCTGATTACAGGCATTAACTTTCCAACCCCCATCTGTGATTTCTTTGCTCTGTGCAACGTGGCCAGAGCTGCATTCCAGGCAGAAGATGCGGACACCGTAAAAAGCTGTCTATGCACAGTTCACTCCCTCCAAGGTCTATGACAAGAAAGGTCAGAATGGGGTAAAGTAGACTCTAGCTAGATGCTGCATTGGATTCATGTTATAGAAGAGAACAGGGCAGATCTGCCGTTAAAACAAACTTCTAGCAAGGCACGATGCTCATCAGATGTAACATTGAGGCATTGTGGTGTCCCCCTGGCAGCTCCTGATTTAATGTTCATGTTAATCGACCACCAAATATTTATTTATTAACACTGTGTGCTGAGTATGGTATCAAGAGCTGAAAAAATATGTATAATAAAAGCATAGCTATTTAATGAGCTTGATGTCTCTTAATGGAAGGTGTATCTGTGCAGATATAAGACTGTGCCAGATTTAGTAAAATAAGAAGAATTTCAGAAAAGGAGGAGCCAATATGAGGTGGAGCATTGAGGGAAGACCTCTCAGGGAAAGTAGTGATACTTCAGAATCATTTGTCTGGGAGTAGAGAGAAGAACAAGAGCCTGTATCTTAGCTCACATGCAGACACTTGAAATGCAGTTGTTGAACGAATGAGCGAATGAATGAGTTAGGGAATCCATTTGCCGGGAAGATGGCAGGTCAGGGAGGCGGCCCAACCAAGGTGGAATATTGAGAAGACGGGACTGATGGAGCAGACAGGGCCTGGGTGAGGCCACAGGGAGAGTGCAGGGGGCACTCTGGAGGCTGGACAGATCCGGGAGGGGTCACAGCTGACCCAGTGGATGTACAGCTGGTGTTGATTTTCAGCATGGGGTTGGGGGAGGGGAAGATACCTCACAAGCGTATTTTGGAAAAATATTGACTTAGCACAGTTTGAAAGAGTGTGGAGGAAGGCAGGAGTGAATCAAGAGAACTAAGATGAGAGGGAGAGTCCTCTAGGAAGGAAGGGCCGAGAGAGCAGCCTCCACCAGGCCTGTGTCTAACTCCAGGAACGCAACTGTACAAGGAAGGCACAAGTGAGAAGAAAGAGATGAATTCAAGAAACTTTTCAAGAAGAATCAACGTGATGCAGTGGCTTGTTGGGCCTCTTCTGAGGGTCTGCCCTTTTTCTATGATTGAGCACATGCACAGGGTGTGAAGGCCCTGAAGGCAGGCATATTTTGTGGATTTGCAGAACAAGTCAGTAGCACCCCTGGGTAGCACATCAATGTTCCGAAATTGCTATTCCACCTGGAAAAACTTTCCAAACACTGTAAAGGTTTAGCAAAGCATATTGAGTCAGTATGACCCAACGCAAAACTGTGCACCAACATTCAAGAAGGCGATGGAGAAAATACTGTGTCACATTCTGTGGAAAGAGTATATTTCCTGACACGCTGTGCACCTGTTGTAGGACTGAGGGTACAGGCACAATGGGACGAAATCCTTTTCTTTAGGGAATTCAAAACTGAGTAAAAACTTTGTGTTAGGGCAATAAGTTGAGAAACGTTCTTGATGTGGCTTAACAGAACATGGATGAGCTGTGTCTAGCCCATCACGGGGAAGTGGAAAGAGGTTTTCTGGAGGAGGTGACATTTGACCAGAGTTTTAAAGATTAATTGTAGGTTTCAGGTTTAAAAGAAGGGCGGGCAGATGCTCTAGGCAGAGGGAGCAGGATATGCAAAGACACTGAGGCTTGCAGGCACTGTGGTGTGTTCCGGGGACCCAGGAGGGGTTGTGCTCAGCGGTTTGCTAGGGGGCTTCCTGCAATAGGGCGCAGGCTTCTCAAACCTTCTAGGAGGAACAGGGTTGTCGTTCTTTCAGCCGGTGCACCTGCTCTCTTAGACTCCTACAGCATCTGATGAGTAAACCCGTCTTCATGAGACCCCTGGCTGTAGCTTAGGAGACAACTTGTCACCAAAACGGTGGTGAGGCTGGCTTTTCTCTGTGGGTATTAAACTCAGAAACATGGCCTCATTCACTAATTGCTCATAAAGGGGTTTAAGAATTGTTTTACTTTTTACATTTAAATTTTTAATCAATTTTTTTTACATATAGAAGGAGACAACCTTATTTTCTTCTAGATGGATAGTTAATTCCACCCCTTATCACTCACTAAGTAAATAATACCTTCCCCACTGCACTGAAATACCCCTTTTTCTGCATGTTCCCACCATAACTGGGTCTGTTTTTGGACCCCCTCGTGCCGCTCATCTGTCTGTTTATTCCAGTGCGAATCCTGCCTGAATTTCACGTCTCTGTGATATGTTTTGCTCTCTGGTAAGTAAGCCTCCTCTACTGTGAGGATTACATGGGATAGCTTTTTAAAAATATCTGGCACAGCACACAGCAGATAGTTGACACTGAGTCAATGGTGGTGGCCTTCTCTTTCTCCTTCAGCTACTGAAACCAAAAACTGAAGAGCTGAAATTCTCCCTTTACACAGATGTTTCAATATGCACAAACTGCCAGTGAGACTCAGATTAAGCATGAAAAACCATGGTCCAAAATTTGAGGAGAGTTTTCATTTTCTAATTTTCAGGCATAAAGTTTGTGGGCAAAGCCACCTAAGACCTACGAGCTCCTTCACACATTTTACTTCTTCAGGAGTGGCCCCCCTCCTTCCCGCCGGCCCCGTTCCTGCCTGCCATTTTGATCAGAAGGCTTGTTTTCACCTGTGGCTCCGTGACAACTGGCAGCTGTCACCATAGGTATCAGGCGGGCCGTGGCTTTGAACTCCTTCTCCCGGTGGCTCTGAGACCTGAGCTGCAGGAGCCATGAATGGTTGAGTAGCATCTCTCTCACGTCTCAGCTCTGATCTTCCCTGGAACTGGAGAGAGTCTCCCCCTACTGTCATCGCTCGGGTCCCTGAGTCCCTCTCTAGTAATTTACATTTAGAAAAATCATCCTTCAAGTGCTACGTGAGCAGAATTTTATTTTAAGTCCAGTACTTGCTTTTAAATCAAGGATGGTTTTCCTTAGGAACTTTATATGGTTTTATACTTAAAGCAAAGTCTTGAATTTAAGAAATTTACTTTTGAACAAACGAAAGCTATCAGAATGACTTATTGAAGACAGAGCCAGTGAATTATTTTATAAGATGTAAACTTTACATTTGAAATCAGGATTTATTTTATTACTTTGATTTTCCCTCTGTCTTCCATCTCCCACTAAAATGTACACTCTCCTCAGATTAAGCCTTAGTGAAGATAACAGAATATTAATTACATCAAAAACTCATAAATTCAGTAAAGTTCCTACAAGCGCTCAGAGGCTGCTTTCTGATGCTGAACAGCCCTTCAGGCCACAAGCGTGAGGCCCAGGGAGGAGCTGACTTGGGCTCCTAGGTCTGCGAAAACCTACCACATTCTCCTTTAGCATTCTGATCTGCGTCTCTGCACACTGATGACCTGTTCTCCTTCTGGCAGGAGGGGCACTGGTTCATGGTCTCCGTGGTGGACAGCTCTGACTTGACACAGAACCTGAGCTCCGTTGCTCCTCATCTCCCACAGTCACTCCTCAATTATTCAGGAGGCCATTACCCATTTGTCAATTAACCAGACCCTATCTTTCACCTCCTGCTGCTCAACTGTGGGTCGTTTCACTGCTCATTAGCACCATCAAGAAGAGAAGATTGCAGGAAGGGCAGAAGCTGAAGTTCAATTTACTAAGCTGTGACTGCTAAGAAAGTCTGGGAAAGGTATAATGAAGAGACGTTAGAAGCTTCTGGCAAAATGAAGTGTGCAGATCAAACTGCATGCTGATATTTTCCTGGGTACTCTCATTCCCAGGAATTACTGTCTCCTAGGTAACTGAGACCGGCCCTACACACACCTCACACAAGAGAAATTGCTTCCATGTCTCAATTCAGACTCAGGGAAGTTTTGGCTCATAAAGTAATCCACCTGTAAAGATCAGCAGGAATCAGAAAGTGTACATTGTAGTTATCGTTGAAAAGCGTTTAGAAAAAGCTACTGTGACAATTAAAAATTGTTTATGACAAAAATTCTATGCTTTTCAGTGA